AGTCAAATCTTATGGTTAGAACTTAATTAGATCCCCAGCGGAGTCGTCATTTCTGTTGTGCCGTAATTTTCCTAACCTTGGAAAAAAATCATTTTTTGAAATGTTCTAAGTATAGAACAATTTGAGAAAGATACTTAGAAAAGAGTTGTCACTTAATTTTTTAAAGGAATTAAGAAAACTTATAATTTTCAAAGATTTAAACAGAAAAAATCATTTGAAAATACCAAAGAGGGTTCGGGGTTCAATTTACTCTTCGAGAAGGGTTTAAGCATTCGAAGTGCCCGCTAACATGTGGTTGACCTGCGACTTGACTAAAATGTATTTGACTATTTTTAGGAAAATAATGATTTAACATAAAAAATAATAACTTACAATATTTGATTAACTTTGAGAAAATAATTAAATAAATGACGCATTTTTTATCTTTATAGAAAGGAGTCCAAAATGAAACACTTGACTTGAAATACAAGTGATTAGAATTTATTTTTAAAAAAAAACTAGAGTGATTAGAATTTCTTTAATTCATTTGTGAAATAAATAATTTAAACCAATTGAATAACTTAAAGAATGAAAATCATTTTAAATTAATCAACTAACTTTTTGTTTGAGAAAATGACTAAGTAAATATATATATATATATTATTATTATTTTTTTTTTTTTAATTTTTAATTTTTTTTTTTTGAAATTGGTAGCATGATGACAAGGGAAAATATGTGACGATATACTAACGATAAAGTGAATGGATAAATTTCTATTTTTCAAAATGGATGCATGATATTTTGGACATCTTCATTTTATACCGTTATTATTTAGTGCGTGAATATGGAAGCCTTTAATGTCATTCAAAATAATAATAATAATGTTGACGTGTTAGTTTTCAAAAACAAAAAAGTCTTAAGACGATAAGTGCTATGGTATTAATATTGCCGTTAATGATGAGATTAGCCTTAAGAGAAATAAGTTAGGCAAAGAGATGCAAGTAAAATAAATATAGAAAATCATATAATATAAGATTTATTCTCTTTATTAGTTCATTCAATTTTCAATCAATTAGTCATTCTCCAACGAATTGCATGCAGTCTGCCAAATTAAAAGAGTGATTTAACATTTAGGGAAAGGGAATTAGGGATAATCAAGAATTATCAGAAGTCCTTTCGAAAATGACAATCTATCTAATTCCTCACAATTATTATTTAATTTCCTTTGAATATAACGAAAATATATCTCGTATAATCTTATAAATATAATTTGCAGAAGATAAGATGTGTGTACATAAATCTTATCTCTAACTTCTTGAAATATAGAGATTATTATTTATAAATCTTCGAATCTCGACTAACCTTATCTCTAACTTCTTGAAATATAGAGATTGTTTTCGATAAATCTTCTGATCTTGACTACTTTATTTTCCTTTGGATATTTTGTTTTTAAAAGAACCTGATGAAGATGCCATAAACGTAGCTATATCCTTGACCAATGGATTATATAACACCGCTGTCAATCTTACGCCATAATTAATCAATTCCTAATCTTATTTATTTATTACTTATATTTTGTATTTTTTTATTTAATGCTAATTCAGTATCTTCCTCTCTAACATGACACCTTTCAATTAATTCCATAAAATTGTATATATTCCAACAGTCAGTTTTTGTTAATTCTTTAAAACTTCTGTCTACTTGCTTTGTGTCCCAAGACTCGTCCACTAATTACCTACTACTCCTCCGTCTACTTTTATTTGTTGTATTACACTTTTCAAAAGTTTATTTG